AACATTTTAATGAACAGTACATTCCATAAAATCAATAAAATGAAAAATATACGAAATAATATACCTACATGTACTGATTTCTTTCGAAAATCGACAACTATGAAACTATGAACCCTTCCCGGACACAAACGGTACATTGTAAGACAGGAAATTGTAGAGAGAAACAAGCCCTATAACATAGGATACAACATTTTAATGAAGAGTGCTTTCAATAAAATCAATAAAATGAAAAATATACGAAATAATATACATGTACTGATTTCTTTCGAAAATCGACAACTATGAAACTATGATCCCTTCCCCGAGACAAACGGTACATTGTGAGACAGCAAATTGTAGAGACAAACAAGCCCTATAACATAGGATACAACATTTTAATGAACAGTGCTTTTCATAAAATCAATAAAAAGAAAAATATACGAAATAATATACATGTACTGATTTCTTTCGAAAATCGACAACTATGTAACTATGAACCCTTCCCGGACACAAACGGTACATTGTGAGACAGGAAAATGTAGAGAGAAACAAGCCCTATAACATAGGATACAACATTTTAATGAACAGTACTTCCCATAAAATGAATAAAATGAAAAATATATGAAATAATATACATGTATACTGATTTCTTTCGAAAATCGACAACTATGAAACTATGATCCCTTCCCCGACACAAAGGGTACATTGTGAGACAGGAAATTGTAGAGAGAAACAAGCCCTATAATATAGGATACAACATTTTAATGAACAGTGCTTTCCATAAAATCAATAAAATGAAAAATTTACGAAATAATATACATGTACTTGTTTACTTTCTTTATCGTGTTACAGACAGACGGGCAGACAAGCGGAGAGATTATAATGGACAGACACCATCAAAATATTTTGTATTTAGGTCATTTATGACCCAAATAACTCATTTTGAGTGAAATTAAAAAAACTTTTTTTTGCCGATCTTAATAGCCTACCATACCCGTTGGTAGGCTAAAAATATATGTGTCATATGTCAAGAATGACAGGATATAGGAAAAATCGGTGAACACAGACTCATTAGGGATGTGATTATCTACAACTTTTATCTGAAAACTTTTTTTCTAAAATAGATTATAATTGAATTAGGGACAATTTTTAAAATAGCTAAAATCTGTTTTTTTTTTCGAAATATCTAGTAAGCCATGAACTTTTTCAAAAATCTGAAAGGCGCATATTTATGACCCCATAAAACTGCAATTCTTTCCCTATTAACCGACTCTCTATCGCCAGTAGTAGTTTCCGAAATACCAATAGAGAACATCGTAGAAAACTCATCCTGTATGATTAGCATATATATTTGACACTATAATTATTTGACACTATACGTATTTGACACTATTTTTAATCTTTAAAAAAAAATATTGCATGTCATTGCATTCTCGAAAGAAAAATATTGCATTTCATGAAACTTAAATTGAGTTTTATTCAAATGGATGCCAAGCTATTGTGATATTTATATCGATCTAAAAACAAACGCCGCTGAAACGAAACACGCCATACCATAAAACGGATCCCTGTCTATTGGAAATGAAGAAAATCATAGAAAATCTGGGTCAAAGCTGCACTAAATTCCTCCTGCCTGTCCCGAACCGAGCGTAAATATTTGACTAATTTTCAAACAACGTGCTCAAACACAAGATGCTCGTTGCTTTATTTGCCTGGGCGTTTTCTTGCGTTATTGTAATCCTTGTTTGTAATTAAAAGATCAAAATCTATATTATGGTCCAATTTACAACTGAAGTTAGAGAATGTTGGAGAAATTCACCAGGACAGAAAGAGGCGAAAAATTCCAGGTATATATTGAACATTCTGTATGATTTAAGATTACGATATTATAAAAATTATAGCAAAGTAAGTAGGCCATCTAATCTAAATACCTAATATAGTTTTGATTTCAGGACAGTTTTTGTATTTTTAATAATTTTTAAGAAAAGCTGAAAAATATTTTCAGCCTTTTTTATATAATATATATTTTTTTATTTATTAATATCTCTGAAACTATCGAAATATATTTACTCATATCTTAGGATTATGTAAAATGAAAAATTGATTGATATGAAAGGAATCCAAAAATGCAATAATATACAGATTGTTCCATTTAGAAAAATCATTCATATCTACACACACTTTTTTGAGCCACCCTGTAGAAGTTAAGCTATTTTCCTGAAATGCATCCTAGTACATACTTTAGGCATGGCATATAAATCACACGGCAGGCTAACTCGCTTTGGCGGGAACGCTACGCGCATATCCTCGCGCACGCCGCCATTTGCGTTTCCAACAACAGAAAGTAACCAGTGTCGTAGTTTTTTCAGCGACAACACACAGTTACGGCAGATTCGAGTCAGTAGCGTGCAGCTTAATTTATTTTGATTTTTTCTTGAGTGATATATGATATATTTTATTTTTGTTGTTTTATTTTTGTTTATTATGTGATATATTTGGTTTTTCTAGTTTTATTTTCGTTTCTTATGTAATATAATTGCCAATAGGTGCCCGGTGGTGTAGAGGTACAGGCTCTCGTCTACCAATCTCAAGGTAGTGGGTTCGAATCCCACACCCGGCATTTCATCAGCCGACAATTTTTATTAAAATAAAAATAGTTTGGGTACCTAGGTCGACTCAGCCTTAAATGAGTACTTGGGATTCACAATCCTGAGGTAATAGGCGGTTGAAGCATAGTACTAGCCACATTACCTTCCTTTGTATACCAAACGGCTCTAGTATGGCAAGAGCTGTACCTTGCTACTCTCAAGGCGTCAAACGCTATATACGGGAGCTATTATAATTATTATGTAATATAATTTGTTTTAGTAGTTTTATTTTTGTTGTTCAATAAAAGTTTCTTTCTGTTTCCTAGAGATCCTATTAGGTATGTATATATGTGATTAATTATTTTAACATATTTTAGTTGTGAAAAAAAAAAACAGTAGTATACATATTAACATTCAGCTAAATAGGAAGATCTAATTAAAAATCTTAACAAACTTTAATATTAGTAAGATTTAATGTTAAATATTTAGTAAAATTTAATGTTGTATCTAAATTAAATTAAATTTAAAAATCAATATACTATTAATTTAAATATAATTATAAAAGTAAATAAAATGAGTATATCGAAAATAAGTTAACAATACATTTTTAGGGCAAGAACATGGGCAATTGCAGCTAATAGAGAAGACTTGATTGAAGATATAAATAAGGCCCACAAAAGGTACAAGTTGCGTTCTGTTCATTTTGAATTTAAAATGTTTACCAATTCACTTTGTAACCGTATAAAATACAATGCGGTACCTACTTTGTTTCCTGCCATGAAATAAATAGAAGTTTCTCAAAAAAATTGTGGATTTATTAATTTGTGAAATTTGAATATTAATAAAATTTGCTACGCCCATTGATGGGCATAATTTGTACGTAGCCTCTTTATATTGTTCAATAAATATTTTATTGGTATTTCTTTAATTCTTGTTTGTAACTCCTGGCATGTTTTTGTTAGCTGCATGTTTTTTAATTTTAATTGTCTATTCTCTACAGTGAAATATTTAATTGATTTTTTCATTTTTACTTTTCGAGAAGTATGCGCGGTTAACGATTCATTTGTTTGGACAAAAGTATTGTTTAAATAAAGTTCAGTTTCAGTCAATTACAGTATTTTTTTAATACGACTGTCGTATTTTATGAGAAATTTTTTGATAAGTTTTAATCCGGCCCTGACTAGGAAACGATAATGGCGCCGTCAAGGTCAAATTTTATAGAAATTTTAAACAATGGAATCTGAGCAGAGTTGGCGTGCCGATTGTTTTATATGCCGTGCTTTAGGTATAGAAGCTACAGATGCCCGACCCTATACCGGGTGCGTCTCAAAAGTAGCTCACCCCTATAATTTTTTTATTTTTTTCATATAAAAAACAAATTTTGTATGTAAGTATATGACATAAAATAGAATTGATTGACGTATTCAATTGTTTTTGGTCATTTCCTGTTTCACCGGATATGACTACAACTTTTGATTTTTAAATGACACTCTCGGTATATTTTTACTTATTCGATAGAAAATGAGAATAGAATGACATTTTATATGTCAACTTTTGATATTTTCACATATTATGGTTTATTTAAAATTGTAACATGCGGTCCATAACGACAATTTGACTCGAAATATCATTTGTCAAGTGTGTGGTAGATTGAAATTTAAAATACGTTTTTTTTTAAAGCGAAAATGTCAAAAATTGACATACAATATGTCATTCTATTCAGAGTGTCATTTTCTATAGAATAAAGTAAACAAATATTGAGGGTGCCATTTAAAAATCAAAAGTTGTTCAAAAAGTAACTAAATACAATTGAATTCTTCAATTAATCCTCATTTATGACATACACTAACATATCAATCTTTTATCTGAAAAAATAAGAAAGTTATAGGGGTGAGACACTTTCGAGACGCATCCGGTATAGTGTAAGATGTATGTAAACCAAAGACGTAGATAATGCTAATGTAGTGTATCACTGGGTACACTAAAAATTGTAAAAGGACTCTAGATTAAGATTACTACATTTTGATAAATGTATATGTTACTGTAAATGTCCGAAATGCGGTAAAACCTAGGATTTACCAAAAGCAAGTGGTAGTAAAAACCAACCAACCCCACCAAATAACCACCTAACCAATGCAATAAGACCCCCCAAATACCAGGCTAACCAATGCATTAACACCCTCCAAATAACCAGGCTAACCAATGCATTAACACCCTCCAAATAACCAGGCTAACCGAATTAGTTAATGCTTTTGGTAAATCCTAGGTTTAGCGCGCTTATCCTAGGTTTTACCGCATTTCGGACATTTACAGTAACATATATGTATACTCATATATCAATATTTATACTCATATAACGGAAGAAAATATAATAATGTTAACGTTAACGTAAATAAAATCTATAACTTTACTGAATATCTTGGTTTACTTTACCTCTCTAATTTTCCATAAGTCCTCCTCGGTGAGTTCGCGCCTCGAAGATTTCCTTCTTCCCATTTTTCACATGAAATTTTCCGAATTCTAACACAAACTCACCAACACAACTACGTTTAGACGATGCATAAATGTTTTTGTTCTTCTCCAGTTCTTTACACATAATACCGCCGAAAATTTCGATCAACTAATCTCGCTTGCATTGTTAATTATTACGTGTTTAAATAAATATAGCGGTGAATATTTGGACTGGATTTAAAACACATTCGTGCGAACTTCAACAACATTGTCCGTCGCAGTTTACAAGTTTTATCTTCCGTTTTTTGACTGTTTACTTAACCTCTGTTTTAGATGATAAACCTGCATAAAAATACCGTATGATTGTATGAAAACATAGCTACAGTAGTCACAGAAATAATACATAGCGATCAACACTGATTGAAATAGTTGACTATTTTGATTTTGTTCGTTTGGTGGGCAATACATTTAAGAAAAAAAAACTCGAATTGACTTGTTATCACCACGTCGAAACAAACCAAAAATTAAATAGTATGCTTAATTTTTAATATTTTTTGGCGTCATTTAAATTCGCTCTGCATAATAATGTGAGACTAATGCCGGCACGCCATTAGCCAACACGCCACGCCACGCCACGCCACGCCATGAAGATCTGTGCTTATGTTTTTTCATTTAATTACATGTATTGCATAATAATGTGAGACGTGCTCCTAATGAATTTTGATAATAAAACCGTTGATTGATGAAATAAGAAAATGCGCAAGCTTATGGACGATTGTGATAAAATATGAAAAATAGTGGAAGTTATCATATACGATTTGAAGTTGAACTTTAACCTTCAATAACTGTCAAACGACTCGATTAAATGAAAATTCATATCAGACCTTTTTTGAAGACTGTTCAATTTACTACAAGAATAATTATTGATTTTTACAAAACGCAAAACGGGAAGTGTTTTGGTATTTTCCCCACAGAATTTGCATTCGCCGTTGTTTCTTAGCTTCAATCTACTGAAGTGTTCATTGGGAGACAGTGTCCTGTTAAAAAAACCGTGACAATCCGAACATTGTTTTTACTTAAATCAAGGAAAATGTTTGATATTTCTTGGTCGTGAGGTACCTGAGAAATTTCTTCGAATATTTTAGACCATTCCAGGGTACGGATGGAGTTTTCCAGGTTCTTGAGTTTCGCTTTAAGTTGGGTTTCACTTGGGAAGCATTTTGCGTTAAGTCTCAGTAATAATATTCGGTTGTAAAAGTGTACGAATTGACTGCCCATAATATATTTGATTTATATGTAATTTGAGACACCTTGTAGTATATAACGGTAACTTATAAAAATTATGGAAAAAAATCAAACATCATAAATCTTCTTTTTTTCATACCCTTATAGTCAAAACAAAAAAAAGGATAATCGTACTAATGAACTCTGAATAAGATTTAAATTACCCGGATATTAAATACATTAGACAATAGGTTATACTGATTGGGCCAGCATTCCTCAAAAAAACTTTCCAAATAATTAATTTATGTATGGAAAAATAAAAGATATTGTTCATTGATTTTATGCAAATGTATTTAAAACCTAAAAAGCAGACGTTTTAGATTAATGGTTGTTTCATATTCTATTTGGACAACAATAGTGTTGTAAAATATCGAATTGTATTTCTGATAAGAAAGGGTATTTGGTAGGAGATAGTAAAGTAATAGAAACAATTTTACAAGACCTGATGGTGCTTGTACTAAAGATCAGCTTCGTATACTATAAAGAAAACTAGAGATAAAACTCAATAAAAACCACTTCTAGCAAAAAACGACATGCGTTTCTTGATAATTAACATCAGATAAACAAATTAGAATAAAAATTCCCCGAAGGAAAGTAATAGAAACAATTTTGCAGGACCTGGTGCATCAGCTGCGTATACTATAAAAAAATTAAAGATAAAACTCAATAAAAACCACTTTTAGCAAAAAAGACATGTGTTTCTTGATAATTAACATCAGATAAATCAACTAGAATAAAAATGCCCCGAAGAAAAGTAAAAGAAACTATTTTACAAGACCTGGTACATAAGCTTCGTATACTATAAAGAAAATTAGAGATAAAACTCAATAAAAACCACTTTTAGCAAAAAACGACATGTGTTTCATGATAATTAACATCAGATAAACAAATTAGAATAAAAATGCCCCGAAGAAAAGTAATAAAAACAATTTTACAGGACCTGGTGCATCAGCTGCGTATACTATAAAGAAAACTAGAGATAAAACTCAATAAAAACCACTTTTAGCAAAAAACGACATGCGTTTCTTGATAATTAACATCAGATAAACAAATTAGAATAAAAATACCCCGAAGGAAAGTAATAGAAACAATTTTGCAGGACCTGGTGCATCAGCTGCGTATACTATAAAAAAATTAAAGATAAAACTCAATAAAAACCACTTTTAGCAAAAAAGACATGTGTTTCTTGATAATTAACATCAGATAAATAAATTAGAATAAAAATGCCCCGAAGAAAAGTAAAAGAAACTATTTTACAAGACCTGGTACATAAGCTTCGTATACTATAAAGAAAATTAGAGATAAAACTCAATAAAAACCACTTTTAGCAAAAAACGACATGTGTTTCATGATAATTAACATCAGATAAACACATTAGAATAAAAATGCCCCGAAGAAAAGTAATAAAAACAATTTTACAAGACCTGGTGCTTGTGCTAAAGATCAGCTTCGTATACTATAAAGAAAACTAGAGATAAAACTCAATAAAAACCACTTCTAGCAAAAAACGACATGCGTTTCTTGATAATTAACATCAGATAAACAAATTAGAATAAAAATTCCCCGAAGGAAAGTAATAGAAACAATTTTGCAGGACCTGGTGCATCAGCTTCGTATACTATAAAAAAATTAAAGATAAAACTCAATAAAAACCACTTTTAGCAAAAAAGACATGTGTTTCTTGATAATTAACATCAGATAAATCAACTAGAATAAAAATGCCCCGAAGAAAAGTAAAAGAAACTATTTTACAAGACCTGGTACATAAGCTTCGTATACTATAAAGAAAATTAGAGATAAAACTCAATAAAAACCACTTTTAGCAAAAAACGACATGTGTTTCATGATAATTAACATCAGATAAACAAATTAGAATAAAAATGCCCCGAAGAAAAGTAATAAAAACAATTTTACAAGACCTGGTGCTTGTGCTAAAGATCAGCTTCGTATACTATAAAGAAAACTAGAGATAAAACTCAATAAAAACCACTTTTAGCAAAAAACGACATGCGTTTCTTGATAATTAACATCAGATAAACCAATTAGAATAAAAATACCCCGAAGGAAAGTAATAGAAACAATTTTGCAGCATCAGCTGCGTATACTATAAAAAAATTAAAGATAAAACTCAATAAAAACCACTTTTAGCAAAAAACGACATGTGTTTCTTGATAATTAACATCAGATAAACACATTAGAATAAAAATGCCCCGAAGAAAAGTAATAAAAACAATTTTACAAGACCTGGTGCTTGTGCTAAAGATCAGCTTCGTATACTATAAAGAAAACTAGAGATAAAACTCAATAAAAACCACTTTTAGCAAAAAACGACATGCGCTTCTTGATAATTAACATGAGATAAACAAATTAGAATAAAAATACCCCGAAGGAAAGTAATAGAAATAATTTTACAGGACCTGGTGCATCAGCTGCGTATACTATAAAAAAATTAAAGATACAACTCAATAAAAACCACTTTTAGCAAAAAAGACATGTGTTTCTTGATGATTAACATCAGATAAATAAATTAGAATAAAAATGCCCCGAAGAAAAGTAGAAGAAACTATTTTACAAGACCTGGTACATAAGCTTCGTATACTATAAAGAAAATTAGAGATAAAACTCAATAAAAACCACTTTTAGCAAAAAACGACATGTCTTTCATGATAATTAACATCAGATAAACAAATTAGAATAAAAATGCCCCGAAGAAAAGTAATAAAAACAATTTTACAAGACCTGGTGCTTGTGCTAAAGATCAGCTTCGTATACTATAAAGAAAACTAGAGATAAAACTCAATAAAAACCACTTTTAGCAAAAAACGACATGCGCTTCTTGATAATTAACATCAGATAAACAAATTAGAATAAAAATACCCCGAAGGAAAGTAATAGAAACAATTTTACAGGACCTGGTGCATCAGCTGCATATACTATAAAAAATTAAAGATAAAACTCAATAAAAACCACTTTTAGCAAAAAAGACATGTGTTTCTTGATAATTAACATCAGATAAATAAATTAGAATAAAAATGCCCCGAAGAAAAGTAGAAGAAACTATTTTACAAGACCTGGTACATAAGCTTCGTATACTATAAAAAAAATTAGAGATAAAACTCAATAAAAACCACTTTTAGCAAAAAACGACATGCGCTTCTTGATAATTAACATCAGATAAACAAATTAGAATAAAAATACCCCGAAGAAAAGTAATAGAAACAATTTTACAGGACCTGGTGCATCAGCTGCATATACTATAAAAAAATTAAAGATAAAACTCAATAAAAACCACTTTTAGCAAAAAAGACATGTGTTTCTTGATAATTAACATCAGATAAATAAATTAGAATAAAAATGCCCCGAAGAAAAGTAAAAGAAACTATTTTACAAGACCTGGTACATAAGCTTCGTATACTATAAAGAAAATTAGAGATAAAACTCAATAAAAACCACTTTTAGCAAAAAACGACATGTGTTTCATGATAATTAACATCAGATAAACAAATTAGAATAAAAATCCCCGAAGAAAAGTAATAAAAACAATTTTACAAGACCTGGTGCTTGTGCTAAAGATCAGCTTCGTATACTATAAAGAAAACTAGAGATAAAACTCAATAAAAACCACTTTTAGCAAAAAACGACATGCGCTTCTTGATAATTAACATCAGATAAACAAATTAGAATAAAAATACCCCGAAGGAAAGTAATAAAAACAATTTTACAGGACCTGGTGCATCAGCTGCGTATACTATAAAAAAATTAAAGATACAACTCAATAAAAACCACTTTTAGCAAAAAAGACATGTGTTTCTTGATAATTAACATCAGATAAATAAATTAGAATAAAAATTCCCCGAAGAAAAGTAAAAGAAACTATTTTACAAGACCTGGTACATAAGCTTCGTATACTATAAAAAAAATTAGAGATAAAACTCAATAAAAACCACTTTTAGCAAAAACCGACATGTGTTTCATGATAATTAACATCAGATAAACAAATTAGAATAAAAATGCCCCGAAGAAAAGTAATAAAAACAATTTTACAAGACCTGGTGCTT